ACACACACACACACACACACACACACACACACACACACACACACACACAGAGAGAGAGAGAGAGAGAGAGAGAGAGAGAGAGAGAGGGAGGAGGAGGAGAGAGGGAGGGGGGAGAGAGAAAGAGAGAGGAGAGAGAGAGACAGACAGACAGACAGAGACACAAAGAGAGGGGGGAGGGAGAGACAGAGACAGGGAGAGGGGGGAGGTTGCTGGTGAGACAGACAGACAGACAGAGACAGAAAGAGAGAAAGAGAGAGAGGAGGGAGGGATAGAGACTCAAGAGATACAGAGAGAGAGAGAGAGAGAAAGAGACAGAGAGAGAGAAGACAGAGAGGCAGAGAGAGAGAGAGAGAATGTGTTGGTGGTGGAGAGAGAGAGAGAGAGATGGTTGGTGGTGGGGAGACCCGAGGGGAGTAGTCAGAGATAGCAGAGACGCTGAAGGATGGGTGGGACAAGGCTCTGCATATCCCAGCGTACCCTCCCTTTGCTCCCCATGTGCACCACGTCCATCCTCTCTCTGTACCCAGTCCTCAGAGCTCATTACTGTTACTGTACAATAAGCCCCGAAGGTCGGTGTCACTCTTGTCCGGACCACACAGTGCGCAGGCGGTAGAGTGACATTTGTCCAGACCGACTGGCTGTCCTCCTAATGAGACATGGGGAGGGAATCACCCTCGTTCCCTTCTCTTTCTCTGTTGTTGTTTGAGGCAAGATCTCACCGTGTAGCCCTGGCTGTCCTGGAACTCAGTCTGTAAACCAGGCTGCCCCTTGGGCTCAGAGAGATTGGCCTGCCTCTGCCCCTGGAATGCTGGGATTAAAGGTGTGTGCCACCACAGCCCAGAGTTCTATCTCTCCAGACACCCCCAACCCCCAGTTTACTTTTGTTGTTGTTGGTTTTGGAGACACGGTTTCTCTGTGTAGCTTTGAAGCCTCACTCTATAGGCCAGGATGGCCTCGAACTCAGAGATCCTCCTGTCTCTGACTCCTGAGTTCTGGGACTAAGGACATGGGCCACCGCCACCCAGCCCCCTCAGATTTATTTTTCAATTATGCTTATCTGTGTACGTTTGTGGAACAGTGCTTTTGTGGGCATCTGTTCTTGCCTTCTTCCATCATGTGGGTCCCTGGGGACTGAACTCAGGTCATCAGGCTTGGTGGTAAGCACCTTTCCCCAATGAGGCACCTTGCTGGTCCTTATATTCCCCACCCCCGTTTTGTTTTTTGTTTTTTTGTTTTTTTTTTTAAAGATTATTTGCATTGATGTTTTGCCTGTATGTATGTCTGTATGGAGATGCCAGATTCCCCTGGAACTGGAGTTATGGGGCAGTTGTGAGCCGTGTGGTTGCTGGGAATTGAACTCAGGACTTTTGAAGAGCAGCACTGCTCCAGCTCCTAAATTCCCTTCCTTAAATACCCTTCATCGGCTTTCCTGCTTCTGTTCAAAGACTGGCTAGGCCTCTCTCTTGCCCTCTTATTAAACCCAGGCCACTTGCCAATGTGTGGAATATCTGCTCTTTACTTCTTCCCTACTCTTTTTGTTTCTTTGTTTCTGATTTTCAAGACAGTGTTTCTCTGTGTCGACCAGGCTGTCCTCAAACTCAGAATCCAGAGGTCTGCCTGCTTCTGCCTCCCCAGTGCTGGGATCCAAGGCGTGAGCCACCGACGCCAGGCTCACTTCTTCCACACTTTATCTCCACTTAAATTTCTCAGACCACAGACAGACAGACAGACAGACAGACAGATATCCTTTATAAACCAGGAGGGCCTTTGCTATTTGCAATCCAGCCAGAAAACTCCCTGCATGGTCTTTAGGGACCAGCTCACTCCTATGAGTACTCTATATTATCTGAGCCACCCCCCTTCCTGCTTGGATAGCCACAGAGTATGTCTCTAGGAGCTGGTCCTCACATCTGACAGGAAGCCTCGTACAGGTAAAGCCCAGGCCTTTGGTGTCTTTGCTCCTAACACTACCCAGCAAAAACTATGAACTCAGGAAAGGTTGATAATTGGTTGAGGAGTGGAAGCATGGATCAATAAATAGATGTCGGATGGGGGGGGCAGATAAATGTTACGGATTGATGGATGAAGGATGCGTGGACGGATGGATGGATGGATGGACGGACAGATGGATGGATGGATGGATGGAGATGGATGAGTTGGCTGGTGGATGGGGTGGATGATGAATGGTTTATAGAAGAGTTGGTCGATGAATTGGGTGTGTGGGAGCAGACAGAATTAATGGATTTGTTGATGGATGGGTAGAAGGGTAAATAGATGGTGTAACAGGACCGATGGATAGATAAGTGAGTTACGGTTTGGTTTGGTTGTTGAGACAGAGTCTTGCTGTGTATCCCAGGCTCACAGTGTGTGCTCTTCCTGCTTCAGCATCAGACTAGTCAATAGTAAGAACGGGCTGGTGGGTAGATAGGGTTGGATGAAGAGAACCACAATGGGTGGCTGGGTGGATAGTTTGGGCAGATCACTGAGTAAATGGATGGATGGATGGGTGTTCGGGTATTGGGAATGACTGAATCTATTTCCTAAGTGGGATTTCTTTTTTTTTTTTTTTTTTTTGGTTTTGTTTGTTTTTTTTTTTTTTTTTTTTTTTGGTTTGTTTGATTTTTTTCTTGTTTTTTTTTTGTTTGTTTGTTTTTGTTTTTGTTTTTTGAGACAGGGATTTTCTGTCTCCCACGTGCTGGGATCAAAGGTGATTGCCACCACTGCCAGGCTCCAATCAGGCAGTAGTGGCGCATTCCTTTAATCCCAGCACTCGGGAGGCAGAGGCAGGTGGATCTCTGTGAGTTCAAGACCAGCCTGGTCTACAAGAGCTAGTTCCAGGACAGGCTCCAAAGCCACAGAGAAATCCTGTCTCATAAAACAAAAACAAGCAAACAACAACAAAAGAATTAAACCCCAAAACCTGCCGGGCAGGCGGGCGGGCGGTAGTGGCACACGCCTTTAATCCCACCCAGAGGCAGGGGGGGCTGTGAGTTCGAGGCCAGCCTGGTCTACAAGAGCGAGTGCCAGGATAGGCTTCAAAGCTACACAGAGAAACCCTGTCTCGACAAACCAAAAAAAAAAAACCAAACCCTAAAACCTTGTGTGTGTGCCTGTGAGCTTGTGTGTGTGTGTGTCTCACGTGCACGAGCATGTTACTGAATGTACCTTGGTACATCTGCGAAGGTCAGAGGACAACTTTCATGACTGGGTTCTCTCCTTCCACCGTAGAGTTTTGGTTGTCAGGATTGTATGGCAAGTGCTTTTACCCATAAGCCATCTCACCAGTCTAAAGGCATTCTCACTTTTCTCCTGGGCATCTGGAGTATTAGTAATTCTAGTCTGTGCCTTGTGAGAACTAAGAATTGGATTCTCTGTTCTGTGGTTCAAATGAGATTCAAGTGACTTAAGAATGAACAGTAAGGGCTGGAGGTGCGGCTCAGCTGTGGAGAGCTTACCTAGCATGCATGAACACTGGGTTCAATTCCCTAGCACCACATAAAACCAGACATGGTTGGTAATCCCTGTAGTTCCAGCACTCAGGCAATCTCAGGAAGTTCAAGACTAGCCTAATGAACATAGTGGGTTCCAGACTAGCCACGACTTATTGTAATAGTGAGACTGTTTCAGAACACCCAAACAGGCTGGATTGATGGCTCAGAGGTTAAGAACACTGGCTGACCTTCCAGAGGTCCTGAAATACATTCCCAGCAACCACGTGGTGGCTCACAAGTGTCTATAACTTCAATCCCAGGAGATCTGATGCCCTCTTCTGGTCTCCAAAGGTACCAGACACACATGCAGTGAATAGACACACAAGCAGGCAAAATACTCATACACATAAAATAAAAAATAAATCTTACAACAGGCACACACACATTGCCAGGTGGTGGTAGCACACACCTTTAATCCTAGAACTCCAATGGCAGAAATAGGCAGATTGCAGATCTCTGTGGGTTCGAGACCAGCCTGGTCCTTAGAACAAGTTCCAGGACAGGCTCCAGGGCCCCAGAGAAACCCTGTCTCGAAAAACAAAAAAACAAACAACAACAACAAAAAAAAAAACAAATGCACACAGTAAAGACTGAACAACTATGTCTATGTGAAGCATGAACAAATGTTGGATTACAGCATTTGACATATGCCAAAGTAACCATCTGTAGTTCAAATGGCTCTTGAAGATCCTTAACATTACTCAGAAGTGTGCATTTGGGTAGACCTCAGAGAACTTGAATTTTGATGCAAGGGCATGCTCTAGTAATGCCGACTTCCCCTGGGACCGGAATCTACACATGGGCCAATCTTCCTTTCCTCCTCCCCTCCTCTTCCTCCTCTTCCTCTTCTTCCTCCTCTTCCTGATTCTCCTCCTCCTCCTCCCCCTCCTCCTCTAATCCTCCTGACTCCTCTCTCCAAACATGGTCCTTACTACATAACATAGGCTGGTGTTTAAAATGTGGTACTCTCTTGCCTCTTTAAATGGGGTTACAGGTGTGAGCCACCTCTTCTTTTTTTTTGGTTCTGTTTTCATTTTGTTTTTAATTGTATCTATTTCTCTGAGTGGGTTCTCCCCATCCACCATGGGAATCTAGGGAAGCAAACAGGTTTTCAGGCTTGGTAGCAAGTGACCTTACCTATCTCTCTTGCCCCTTGATTTTTTTCTTTGCAACAGTATCTCATAGTCTGTAGCCCGGGCTGGCCTCAGAGCATACATTGCAATTTGGCCTTGAAGATCCAGGGGTTGGGATTCCCCCAGCTCTCTCTCTCTTTATCTTTGCCTGTTTTCTCCATCTCTGTTTGCCTCCTTGTCTTTGTGACTCTCCAGGTGATTCTCTTTGCCTCTCTCTGCTTTTTCCTGTCACGAACTCACATGTACCAGCGAACTCTGGTGAGTTAAAAGCACAAATATTTGTGCTCACACACTCTTGGGACTCTGCAGCAAGTGGAGGGAGGGGTGCAGGTGAGCTTGAGTGTCCATCAGTGAGTCAGGGGTTCCCTGGCCTTTCATGGACCTCAGAAGAGAAGCAATCCTGACTAGTTACTAATCCCACCTTCCCTTCCCACAGACAATCTCATCCTCCAGGACCTGACTGAGATGCACTCTGCACATCGACCGACCGCCGGGACACCCACCTGTCCCCTCACTTGGATAAATGTCTCGATTTTGGAGCACTGTTTGCCTGTCTGGTTAAAGGCCTGAACTGGCGAAGGAGAGTGATATAAACTTCTTGCCAGGCCAAGCCCTCTTTAATCTAGGAGGCCCTAGAGCCACTGGGGATATAGAATCCCAACATCTCACTGGTCCTCTGCTAGGGACACCAGGCACCAGGAATGGGATCTTGAGTGCAGACCCACCTACCCAGCCAGGACTTCCATTAGGGTAGTTTGGATCTTCTAAGAGCAGACATAGGGGCATACTGAATTTGCAAGATATTCACTGCAGTGTGTGTGTGTGGCGGGGGGGGGGGCATTTAGAGGGTGGCATTGATGAAGGATTCCTGCTATAGGAGAGAGAGCTAATTGGCAGTCTGAGTCTGGGTGCAGACAACACACTTCCAAGAAAAGGGTTGGCTGGTGGGGACTCTGGGACAGCCTAAGTCCTTGCTGGGTGATGCTCATACTCTCTCTCTCTCTCTCTTTTTTTTTTCTTAATGTGCATTGATGTTTTGCCATGGGTGTCAGGTCCCCTGGAACTGGAGTTAAAGATAGTTTTGAGCTGCCATGTGGGTTGCTGGGAATTGAACCCTGGTCCTCTGTAAGTGCAGTCAGTGCTCTCAACCATTGAGCCTGTCTCCAGCTCCAAGCCCATACTGTTCTATACCCACTCAGGCATTGGTGCTGGGAGGGGCAGGAGAATCGTGAGAGTAGGGACATAGCGATGCTCCCCGAAGCAGGACAAAGATGTGTGTGCCCCTGATACCCCAAGTCATCCTATTGCAAGCTCATTTCATTGCAGCTTCCCATAAGCTCCCCTACCCAGAACTTCCTCTGGTCCCCTTCCACAAACCAGACCCCCCGCCCCTCATCATAACAACCCAGCACGGCCACTCAGCCCTCATCCCTTAAGCTTCCCTTAACATGGTGCAAGGTTCCCATGAAACCACCTGCTCCCCACGGATCTCAGGGGAGAAAGAAAAAAAAAAAAGACACACATTTATATGCCATATCTGTGTTGAGGGGGTCT